CAGAAAGGGGGGGGGGGTGGCAGAAAATGGAGACGAAAGCAGGCGATAGAACATGTTTAGAGAACAGGAAAGGAAGCGAAAGGAGAAAATATTAGAGAACAAAAATTTTCCGTTTCTGTCAGTTGTCGAAACAGGGACTTATTGAATGAAAGGCGATAACGCGATGCTTCTGGGCCATGACAGACCCCTCGCGGATAGTATAATTCAAGTTTAGGGTCGTAACTCGTAACAGATAAATAACTCTGCGAATTTCTCTTGTTTGCTTTTGCGCCCTTTAATTAGCCTGTCTGGACCCCGCTGCAGGCTAGAGGTGATGTTTCCGCTCTCCACTTTCCTCTGACGGCTTATTTGCCAGCAAGGTGGAATTCAGTCTTGATTAACGACTTGTTTGGTTCTGAAGTTAACGTCTCCCTTCCTATGATGTGTGCTGTTTTATTATAACTACGAGTATTTTTTTTTTCTACATATGTTGTGACTTTATGTATTTTTACAAACTTTATTTAAATTTATTTTTTATATTTTTTAAAAGCAATGCAAAACATTGGCGACGGGCGAGGACATGGAAGACAAATGTCACAGTTGTGTCTGTGGTCGTAAATTACGGTCAGTTGTAGGTGAGTTTGACCGAAACAAACAAGTTGTCAGGAATCTCGGTGTATATATTGACCACCACTTATCAATGGGCTCGTTTGTAGGATCTCTGTCCAAATCCCTTTATTTTCAGCTGAGAAGGATAGGCCTAGTTCGAAAGTACTTAAACGAAGAGACCACAAAAACACTGGTAACATCTCTTATCCTATCTAGATTAGACTATTGTAACTCACTCCTAGCAGGTCTGAACAACAAATATTTGAATCGTTTACAAGTAATTCAAAACAATGCCACTAGACTGATAACAAGATCTAAAAAACGAAACAATGTCACTCCATTATTAAAAGAACTGCATTGGCTCCCTGTAAAAGAACGAATAATATTTAAAATCTGCGTCATGTGTTTCAAATGTGTAAATAAAACTGCTCCTTTTTATCTACAAGAACTTATCAGTATATATAAACCAGGGAGAAACCTAAGATCATCAAACGATAACACCCTACTTGTGACACCTATAAAATCATACAAATCATATGGAGAGAGATCTTTCTCATATCTTGGTCCATTTATGTGGAACAGATTACCCATGAAACTAAGACAAATAAGAACTCTTGATAGCTTCAAAAGACATCTTAAACATTTTCTGTTCCTACAGGCCCATCCTTCATAAGCTTTTAACGTTATCTTTCATTATATTTGTTCTGTTCCTATGTCTGGATGAAAATAGTCTGTGTGTGTGTGTGTGTGTGTGTGTGTGTGTGTGTGTGTGTGTGTGTGTGTATGTGTGTGTGTGTGCATTAATGTATATTGCTTGAGAAGAAAGGAAGTAGTAAGAAAGGTTTTTGAAAAACGGGTATTCCAATGTAAAGCGCATTGAGCTACTTTTTTTGGAAATGCGCTATATAAATGTTATATATTATTATTATTATTATTATTATTATTAAGTAGATCTGGAGGGCAAACGTGAATGGGTTTAATTGAATAACAGACTATTGTGTGAACGGTCAGGCAATGCGCAGTAAGTCAACTGTCCAGCAACGGGCTGCTTCGTCGGTCTGGCAGTATTAATTACTTGTTGCTGTTGTTGATGGGATCGTAAATCTAGCGAACATTTATACGGAGGGTGATTTACATTTTTAACAGTTGTTATTGCCAGTTTCAAGATGCATGTATTATTTTTGCTGTCACCTGCTACGCCGAGGTGCCGCCGCACTAAAAGTGGACGCATTCTTAACTGCCTTAACAAATGAGGGAGGAGCTTCTTCTACTTTTCCGCCTTACAACAACTCACCTTTCTCCTGTGCTACACAGTGACGTTGCATTTAGTTATAGTACCCCAGACTCTAACGTGTGAAAGGGAAAGAATCGGGGTCACAATCCAGCTGGAACACAGTTCTATATTATATTTAACATTATCATCATTTTGTCGAGGGTTTTTTTTATAGCTCAAGTACTGTGATGCATATCGTAAACATTATTCTACAAGGACCCAAATCATTTTTGGAGGTTTAGGGAAAACAACAACAACAACAACAAAAATCGCTCAAATGAGAACCAGCTGTGCATTCGTTATTTTTCAATTAAAATCTGGAAAGGGGGGGGGGGGGGGGGTAACAACTAATGAAACAAAATAAACCCACCCCTATATTGTAACCGTTCGAAAAAAGGGTTTATTGGGGGAACCCCCCAAA